TCAAACAACTTTCGTTAGACGACTTAGTTGCAACTTACAGGATAGCATAGTTTTACCAACTATGACAAAAACTGTAAGTTAAACACATCACCGGGTTACATTAAATGCCGTGATGCATCTATCATTAAGGGTGTGCGACCCATCTGGAAGCGCCTCTATAAAGATCAATACCGCATTGAGTCAACGAATTTCAGTACCACTGGCCTTTACGTCCCCTCCAAACCAACAAGAACAAGCTGTAACACCGTAAGGCATGGCTTGGAGTCATGAATAGAGAGCTCACGTTCAGGATTTATTGGGCAAAGATCTTGTTATGACTCTCAACGGCCCGGAAGTATTTGTTGTGAAAGAATTGGAAAAATTCACGAAATACAAAGTAAAGTAAGAGCTGAAAAAGAAATGAATTAATAAACAGGATAATACGGACGGACGAATTGACAGTAATGTTTTTTTTTTGGACAGCCCACCCTCAACCCCCTCTTGTAATTCCTAAAAAGTTCAAAGCCCTTTTTATAGAGGATAAGCCTCGTTCGATAAAAATTATATAAAAAACTCGAACGCGCCATTGAAATTGATTCATGTCCATTTTATTAAAAAGAAAAAACCCCTTACGTTAACAAAACCAACAATCAGCCCTCACCCAATCACCCCTACCCCTCACCCAATCACCCAAACCAAAGTAAAGTAAGAGCTGAAAAAGAAATGGATTAATAAACAGGATAATACGGACGGACGAATTGACAGTAATGTTTTTTTTTGGACAGCCCACCCTCAACCCCCTCTTGTAATTCCTAAAAAGTTCAAAGCCCTTTTTATAGAGGATAAGCCTCGTTCGATAAAAATTATATAAAAAACTCGAACGCGCCATTAAAATTCATTCATGTCCATATTATTAAAAAGAAAAATCCCCTTACGTTAACAAAACTACCAATCACCCCTACCCCTCACCCAATCACCCAAACCTTTTCCTTGGCGTCAATGGGGCGCAACTCCCATATAGATTTGATTATGCTCTTCTCGCCTACCCAAACCCTTAACCCTCGCACCACAATTTCAACCCCTACCCCCTCACCCAATCACCCAAACCCTTCTCTTGGCGTCAATGGGGCGCAACTCCCATATAGATTTGATAATGCTCTTCTCGCCTACCCAACCCCTACCCCCTCACCCAATCACCCAAACCCTTCCATTGGCGTCAATGGGGCGCAACTCCCATATAGATTTGATAATGCTCTTCTCGCCTACCCAACCCCTACCCCCTCACACCCTTAACCCCTACTCTACTTTCACTCACGTTCTAACGTTGAAGTTCTTCGGCTTCGTGCTCCTCAGGTTTGCTCACACAACAGAACATTCGTTTAAGAGTCCTCCAAAAACTTCTGCGCTTTTTTTTGGGCTTCTCTTGCAGATTGGATCGGCTCGATGGTCCATCATCAGCTGATGGCACAGAAAACGTCATGTCCGATGCAATCGTAATAGCATCGCAATCCTGAAATAATAATAAAGATTTATTAATATTAATAGTCAGAACTCCAGCTAGTTGAATTTGAATTCACTAGAGTCATGTAATGAATTTGTTACTTACAGCGAAATGGGAACAGATTTGTGATGAAACAAATCCTTGGAGGGCCGATGCTAGTACGGGATGGTGAAACAAGCAGATCCCGACTTCTCTCATGAGCATGATGTCATGGAAGTGATTGATCCACACAATCAACAACTCCTCTAGACCCTCCAAGACTTCCAAAGACGCTCCCTTGAACCATTGCATCAAGCACAAAATAAGAGGAACCAGCTCTTCTTGCTCTTGCTGAAGTATCTCGATTTCTTGCGAAACAGCATACTTCATGAGCAAAAGCTTCAGCTCTGGATGCTTACTCAAAATGTTGGACGTCAAAATTTGCATTCGTCTATTCTCCACATCGTACAGTCGAACAAACTTCCTCATTTGCCTCTTTACTGTTGAACCTGCATGAGATGCATAATCCAACAGCTCAAGAGGCAAATCTCTTGAAGGTTCTTCAACCGCACAATGAAAATCCTTGGAGAGGAATCGTCCGACGAACAGCAACTCGTAAGCCAATGGCTGGTAGTCGCTATAAAATTTCTGGTCCAACAAATTTTGATAGCCTTCATCCAACTCTTGATCCAATCCATCTTGCCATCCACCTTTCAATTCATCTTGCCATCCACCTTCCAATTCCTCAGGAATTGGAGCAGCAATGATTGGCGAAGAATGTCTATCCAGGAGATGTGGATCCTCGAGCTCATAATCTGGAATGAGAGCTGGCATACTGTTGATGAACTGGTTCATTTCCTGGAAAAAAAAATTTGTTAAATTTTTCAAAATTTAAAGGTAAGGATTTAAATCATCATCAAAATGATTTGAAAAATGATTTTTTATTTAAATCATTTTACACAAGTGATTTATTTTTGATTTATGATTTAAATCATTTTGTATGAAAGATTTATTTGTGATTTATGATTTAAATCACATTGTATGGGCATTTTTTTGGGGATTTTAAATCACTTGAAGGTGAAAATTTGTTTGGGAATTTTCAGAAGATTAATTAAAAACATTAATCATTAATCATGGATATCCTTTCTGGCTTTTGGATATTGTAGTATGCAGATGTTGGTGAAAGCATGAATGGATCTAGCATCATATGAGGAACTAGTCAATTCCAGTCCCTTTAAAGCATTTTTTGATAAGTTTTCATTGTCAAAGAGGTATACGTTTTTATTTCTTAGCCAGAGATATGATTAGACACTGGAACTGCTCAGTTCCTTTACATCCCAAAAAAAAGTTTTTGTTTCTTTTTAATCGTGATTCACATCCTGGAACAAAAAAAAATTTTTGAGGAACCGACCGGTTCCTTTAGTGCCTGAAGACTAAAAATGTCAAATATTAAGTCATTAAAGAATTAAGCACTTTTTTTGAGCATTTTCAGTCTTCAGGCACTAAAGGAACCGGTCGGTTCCTCAAAAAAATTTTTTGTTCCAGGATGTGATTCCTTGATTAAAAAGAAACAAAAAATTTTTTTTGGGATGTAAAGGAACTGGGCAGTTCCAGTGTCTACTCATACCTCTGTCTAAGAAATACAAACGTATACCTCTTTGACAATGAAAACTTATCAAAAAATGCTTTAAAGCGACTGGAATTGACTAGTTCCTCATATGATGCTAGATCCATTCATGCTTTATCATTTAGAGCTATACCAACATCTGCATACTACAATATCCAAAAGCCAGAAAGGATATCCATGATTAATGATTAATGTTTTTAATTAATCTTCTGAAAATTCCCAAACAAATTTTCACCTTCAAGTGATTTAAAATCCCAAAAAGAATCCCCATACAATGTGATTTAAATCATATAAAATTAATGCTTACCTCTTCCTCAACTTGAGGCTCCACATTTTCGCTATCGATGATTGAACCTCTGCTCCCATTTCGCTGTTCTTCTTCCTCCAAAATTTGATTCATCCTCTGAATCAACTCGATGATATCCTCCTTTGTCAACTCGTACGATATTGTTGCTTCCATTGTTTAAACAAAACTGAAAAAAATTCAGAATTGTTCAAATTTCAAAGGTTGCTAGGATTATTTTTTTCTCATTCAATCTTTGAAGAATTCAAAGAAAAATAATATTTTTGGACATAAACCGAATTTTAAGCTGTTAAATCTGCTGCATCAACATATCCAATGCAAAAAGGATTCATTTAAATTTGTTACGTGATATGGAAACGAACCAAATGATAAAATCAAAATGTTTGTTTAAAATCAAGAAAATTAAATTATTTATGCAGGAAGAAGTCAACCACTTACAATTTAAGCAGAAGATAGAAGCCGAAAGAAGAACTAAGCAAGACGAAAGGAAATGGTAATAAGTTTTAATCATTAAATTTTCATGGAAACACAGGAAAGATACAATTGCGATGATCAGATTTTATTCATCGAGCAGCAGATCAAGTTAGAGATTTTCCAAAAAGAAAATTAAGAAGACAAAGTCCAGTATATCATGCAGTGGAAAACGAAGATACAGAAGAGCAAGTTGCTGATTTTGTCAACAGGCATTTGATGATTCATGGTGAAAATACATCTAAAATCTTAAAAATGCAAAGAGTTGTTATGCGTGATCGTCGACATACGGAAGTAGCTCAACTAAGAATGGTGCAAACACAAGGTTGATCTACACTCTTTAAATTTGATTTTTTTAGGTGAGTAAGACTTTTTTAAAAATTGTTCCCAACTTTATTTTGAAACTTACATGCCAAGTCTGGTCATGTACAATCTCGTACTTGACGTCATTCAGTAGAATGCAGTTATGTTGAAGCTGAAATAGCATCTACATCATTGAATGACTTGCTCAATTCTTTCGAAGATTTAGTATGTGATGTTGAGATCTAGTTTTAAAATCATCATTCGCACATATTGTTAGGGTATGGATTATGATAAAGCAATTGAATGGCTTAAAACTAACAATGTAAAATAAGACATTCGAAAAGCATCCGAGAGAGAAAAAAAAAGGAGAAAATTTATTGAACCAAATATGTTGTGAAGATTTGCTGCTGGAATCAATGCTTTTCGAAAGAGATTATTGGTAGATCTATGCGTGTTGATGATACATAACGATAATTGACTGCATTTAAAAAGTAAGGGATTGATGCTAAACCTTATTACTGGTAATATATTGATATCCAATTTATTTAAATCTATTATGAACTTAACAATTTAATTTTAGGCATGCTGATAAAAGAGTTTAGGAACAATGCCACATGGTGGTCTATGGATTAGGTTTTGCACGATTCTTGTGTAGTTATACGTGAATATAAAAAAAATAAATTTGGGAATCAACTTGCTTTTTGCGATTCAGCTTATCTATATATACTAATAAAACCTGACTGAATTTCAACATTCCTTGCATAAATTTTCCAGCTTACCATCTTCAAAAACTTAAAGGAACCAAGAAAAATCTGTTGCTCTTCGGGAATTTCTGGAATTAACAAACTTCGATTGGATGTTGCCTATTGATTAGCAATTTAAACCCCAAGACAGAAACTTAAGCTGAAGTTTGATCTATGCAAAAGACTTTCTGTTTAATTTTTGTTTTAAACGAAAAATCTCTTCTTTATTGTGTACAGCAATCTATCAAAAGAGACGTGGAATTTGGTTGGTTTTCTACGTAAGTTGTGTTTTCTGTATTTGCTCGTGAACCATAAAAGCAAGCAGAGTGTGAAGCATCAATTATGCGCTTGAGGCTGTTTCTAATTACTTCTTACTTATATGATGTTCGAAAAATCAAATTAAAATTGAACGGTTTGATCAGGCTTCATTCAGTCATTACAAAAAGCTATTAATTATAGTTTGAATAGATATTTTTTCATTTATTATATTATAAAATTTAGCAAATAGGCATGTCTATGGTAAAAAATTATATTCTTAAAAAAAATCTTAAAAAAAATTTTGATTTTTACATCATATTTTATAGCGACAGGCTCTAACTAAGCAGAGCATTATTAAATTCAGCCACTTTATCTAAAATATATACTTTTGTCTGTATGAGATTTCTTCATCAAAGTGCTGCTTCAACGTTTGAAGATTCGGCATAGTCTTACAGTCTGGAACATTAAGTAAAGTATTGAAGAATTTATCCCAAATATCTTTCTGGAAGTATCTTGGGAATCTTGTCTTAATTTGCCAATTGCTTGACTTCTTTTCAACTTCTATATACTTTCCAAATAGAATCACATGAGCTGTCCCACAAATACCAAAAAGATCTGTCTGATATGTCCATGACCGATTCTCAAGCATCTCACAGCATGTAAAATTGTCTGTTTTCACGACATAAGTGAACTCATCATCTTTATCGAAGCTATCCATGTCAATTGCAGATCCAAAATCTATTAGCTGCAGTGATGGAACTTTTATTCCAATAGCAATTCTAAAGAAAATTAAGTAAAATAACAAGAATTAAAAGATTAATAATTAAACTAGACATTTTACGTACTTGGACATCAAAACAAAATTGTCAGGCTTAATATCAGCATGAATGATGTGACATGAATGGAGATAATCAATAATAGACAAGAGCTGTGATGTAAAAATCATTCCAATATATTCATCAACGTTTTTACTAGTGCCTTGCTTAATTTTATTGCAAACATCAATAATGTGGAGATCCATGTGGAGAATATTCCGAGATTAAGACACTAGCATTATTGGCAACAATAGCTTTGTAGACATGCATATAAGCTGGAATCATGTGATTAATGTTCTTTGAACTTAATCGAGAGACTAGTTCGATTAAAATATAATATTCCCATAGATTTGGTGGTTTTTCTTGCTTTGCTGCATACGATTCATTGTTCTTCATGTTGCGCACTTCAAAAACTGAACCAAATCCACCTTTTCCAAGAATTTTAGCCACTTTATACATGTCATTTCCACACTGTAAAGTCCCTCCGGATTTTAATTGAGGAACATTCTTTAATAAAGAACAGGAATCAATGTGATCTTCAAGATATTGTTCGAAATTGCATTGTTCAAGAATCAATGTGCGAACATCTTTAGAAAATGGATTTCCTTTGCTCTTCACAATTGCATCTCTTAATTTAAATGACAATGATTCATCGAAATTCTGAATGATTGTGTATTCATAACGATTTGGACCGTCACCAAGAAAGCTGTACATTTTTTCATCTTCCCAAGTTTCTGCATCTTCAAACTCGACAATTGTCTGATCTTTCTTTGGATTATGGTAAATACTTTTACTTAAATCATCATCTTCTTCATCATCCTGGAAAATCTCAAATTCATTTTTCTTTTCTTGTTGTTTACTGGTTTGGGGCTAATCGCTAATAAAAAAATTAGATTTATTCAAATTGTCAACTCCTAAAGATGTTAAGACGTACCTTTCTCAGCAGCTTGTGATTTATTCTTTCCCAAACGACCAAATTCGTCTTCATTCATTTCAATACTCAAATCTAAGAATTCATTGAGTTCTGGTTTCTTTGTGACAGGAACAACCTTTGTGACATCTCCAAAAACGGTCGAATTAATGCCGAATTTAAGTGGCAAATTGAATTTCTCAGTATTAAGATCAGCTTCAAAAATATTCATTGTTGGACTAGGACTCTTGAATGGCTTATTAATTTGCAAGTCATTGAAAGTGGCTTCAAGTGACAATTTCGATTTAGCATCTGAGAATTTAAGTAAGTCGCTAATTTCATTTCTTGGCAGGTCACTAATCTCATTTTTCGGTAAGTCACTGATTTTATTTCTCGGTTGATTCCCAATGGCTTGTGCTGGCTTATAGTTTAATTGTGGAAAACTTTTGCACAAATCAAGGAACTCGTCTGAATTGGTTCGTTTGAATTGTGGAACTATTAAATTTTCCTTTCGTGACATATTGGCAGTTGATTGATTTAAAGGCTGAACTATTGATGGTTTGTGTGCAACTTGTGGCACCTCACATATAGAATCTTCATACACAGAAAACGGTATCTTATTAGTTGCCGTTGATCGCGCTGAAGCATCTTGAATGCCTGATATGGAAAGTAGCCGTCCTTGCTTATCTGAAACTTCTTGAGTTGTCAGAATTTCTTCATGCACTGGTGACATATCTTGTGTAGCTGGGAATTCTTCGTGTTCATTTTCATTAATTGACAAATTTTGAATTTGTGGAGATCAGTGTTGAAATCTGCCTATACTTCTGCAAAAAGACACTTTCTATATGAAGAATTAATCTTCTGCAGATTTCTGTCTGCATGTAGATTAAAAAAAGTATCTACATGAAGAATCTATCTTCCAAAGAATTCTGTCTTCCACAGATTTCTGTCTGCATGTAGATCAAAAAAAGTGTCTACATGCAGATTCTGTCTTCCGAAGAATTCTATCTTCCACAGATTTCTGTCTGCATGTAGATCAAAAAAAGTGTCTACATGCAGATTCTGTCTTCCGAAGAATTCTATCTTCCACAGATTTCTGTCTGCATGTAGATCAAAAAAAGTGTCTACATGCAGATTCTGTCTTCCGAAGAATTCTATCTTCCACAGATTTCTGTCTGCATGTAGATAAAAAAAAAGTGTCTACACGCAGATTCTGTCTTCCAAAGATTTCTGTCTTCCACAGGGTTTGTCTGCATGCAGATTATTATATTTTGATATTTAATAAATATTTTTAAATGGAAAACACATAGAAAGATTTAGGATACAAAATAAAACAACGAAATTAATTTTGCAAATTAATGTGGATTCTTCTTCACTTCCTCTGACAAGTCTCTTTTATAAAAAAATGATCAAACATTTACGGGCTTTTAAAATTAATAAAAAGGGTTTTTTCATTTAGATTTTGTCGTTGTCAGAAAAATGCTTAATAATAGCATAAATACACTGAGTTACGCTTTTTATTAAGTATTCGATACGCCAATAAAACGATAGAACTGAGAAAACGTAGAAGGCTACGATGTCTGGTTGCTTCTATCTCAATCAATAAGTTACCTTTTTGAAATAAGTTTCAAAAATGCACTAAAAATGGATATTTTCAGTAACATACACACAATTTATTTTATTTATTATTTTTTTTATTCTACATGTAGACAGAAATCTGTGGAAGACAGAATTCTTTGGAAGACAGAATCTGCGTGTAGACACTTTTTTTGATCTACATGCAGACAGAAATCTGTGGAAGACAGAATTCTTTGGAAGACAGATTCTGCATGTAGACACTTTTTTTAATCTACATGCAGACAGAAATCTGTGGAAGACAGAATTCTTTGGAAGACAGATTCTGCATGTAGACACTTTTTTTAATCTACATGCAGACAGAAATCTGTGGAAGACAGAATTCTTTGGAAGACAGATTCTGCATGTAGACACTTTTTTTAATCTACATGCAGACAGAAATCTGTGGAAGACAGAATTCTTTGGAAGACAGATTCTGCATGTAGACACTTTTTTTAATCTACATGCAGACAGAAATCTGTAGAAGATAAATTCTTCATAAAGATAAAATCTTTTAAAGATTCTGTAGTCTTTGTCTATGGAAGACGTCTGTCATTTCAACACTGGTGGAGATCTTAAACCATCTGTTAATTCCTGTGTCGCTGGGATCTCAAAATTTTCAGTTTCCTTAACAGTAATGTCAATTAATTCAGGAATTTCAAAGCTGTCATTAATATTGGTAATTGGTGGAATTCGCGTTATCGGTTGACAGACGAAGTTCGCTGATTTTTTGAATGTTCTAAAATAATAAATGTTCATAGTAAGTAACTTCCTGATGTTAATGGTCTTCAATAAACTTACAGGAGTTAAAAACGAAGGAACTGAATACATCTGGATGTGAGGAACACCATTTATTTTAACATCAACAGCCAGAATTGATCCGTCACAGTTTGTAGCTAATTGAGTAACAGGCGATGGCATAGGAATTTTACGAACTGAAGCATTTTGATCTAATGCTGTTGGAAGTTCCAAATCTTTCGTACAAATCACAAAAATCTCAGCATTTGATGATCCAACAAAAACCAGTCCAAAGCTACTTGCTGATCCAACAATATTCACTTTTGCATTTACTAACGCATTCGAGGAACCGTCAAATACATTTGTTTTGCTATCAATTATTCAATTATTTACCAAATTATCCTTTCCAATCGATCTAGGTATTGCCATGTTTAACTGTCTAGAGTAAATTTCACTGAAAATATCTTAAGTTTTGATGAGTTTTAATCAGCTTTTAATTAAATTTGCAAAATAAACTTTTTCTAATTTAACCTTTTTTTGCGGTGTTTGTAGCGCAATTTTCACGCCCAATTTCGAAAATTTTATGTCTAATTTTTGTCTGTCTGACAATTGTGTAAGTGTATTTCAAAAATTAGAATTCGAATATTGGATGTATTATTCATCAAATGCTTCAGGGATTTAAAAGGGTTTTTACATTTCCACGTTTATTGGCTCAGGGATTTTTTTTAAAGGATTTTTGAGATTTTTGAGTATTAATCCTGAGTTTCCACGACTTCACAATGATTCAGAATCGAAAAAAATGTTCAAAAATTCAAAAATTTCATGTTAATTAAACTTTGTCTTTTAAATGCCAGATAAAAGATCTTTCCTTTGTGCATATCCTTTAAAAATATCTCGTTCCTATTTGCTGTCTAACTCCAGAAATCATTAATTTAATCTCACCCAAAATTTGTTTACAATTTGAGTATGAAAAAAGAAATGTGATTTTTTCTACTTTAAGTTGTTATTTGGATGTCTTGAAAGCAGTTGCTAGCTAATTTAAGCTTAGCTCTACATATTAAAACAACCAACTCAATAGAAATCTGCTTATTAAGCCTTAAAAATGGAATTGAAATCTGAGTATTTTTACAAAACTTAAACTATTCATAAGTTAAAAAGTCTTCCAAAGACCTCTCTGAAACCTATATAAATCAATTAAATAAGCTTTAATCTATCTCCCATATTACTGAGGACATGCCGTTTGATGCCGTTTTCGAGATATTTGCGATCAAAGTTTACATAAAATTTCATACAAAGTTTGATCATGCACAATATTTTTTGATAAACTTTTACAAACTTTTGATAAAAAAACATGTTTATCCTTTATATTAAGGACTGATTTTTTGAGCAATGAACGAAAATATTATGTAGAAGATGCTAAAAGAATCAAATCAAAAGAAATCAACAAAAACTTTCAATTTTCTAATGTGTCAGAAAAATATTGTGCACAAGGAATTTTTGAACATTTTTTCCGAATCTGAATCATTGTGGACTTGAAAATTTTGAATTTCAAACTAAACATTTAAATTTCATAAATTGACACTCCAAAAAATAATATTCCAAAAATTGAAGCACGAAAAAGTCGAGTTCAAAAAATTGAAAAACGAAAAATTCGAATTCCAAAAGTTGAAACACGAAAAAATTCGAGTTCCAAAAATTAAAACACGAAAAAATCGAGATCCAAAAATTGAAACACGAAAAATTCGAGTTCCAAAAATTGAAGCACGAAAAAGTCGAGTTCAAAAAATTTTTAAAACGAAAAATTCGAGTTCAAAAAATTAAAACATGAAAAATTTGAGTTCAAAAATTGAAGCACGAAAAAGTCGAGTTCAAAAAATTGAAATTCGAAAAATTCTAGTTGCAAAAGTTGAAACACGAAAAAGTCGAATTCCAAAAATTGAAGCACGAAAAATTCGAATTAAAAAAATTGAAATACGAAAAATTCGAATTCAAAAATTGAAACACGAAAAATTCGAATTCTAAAAGTTGAAACACGAACATTTGAATTCCAAAAATTGAAACACGAAAATTTCGAGTTCCAAATATTAAAACACGAAAAATTCGGATTCAAAAAAGTTGAAACTCTGAAACTCCAAAATTTCCAATTCAATTCACAACTTCTGTTTGTCAG